AAGCAGTGGTATCAACGCAGAGTACTGAAAGGCGAAGCTAAGCTGAGTACAATATCTACGAGTTGTGCTTGAAAGGAGATGCCGCCGATTGGCTTCACTCTCGGCGCACAGGTACCACTCACTCTTGAGTGATTAGATACGAATGAGTGATTCACTATTTCGCCTACGGATATTCCGCAGGCGTAATCTATATATGTATATAAAACTCAAAACTGTGAGTTTGGAGGCTATGTGCGTTATAGAAACGCGCGCCGCTCAACCGATTCAGCTGAAACTTTGCACACATACGTTTTCGACCCCTGCGCAGATGATAGGCTACTTTTTGCGTCGATTTATTGGGTCCTTCTATCGATTTATTGATTTACGTTTTACTAAAGAGATCAAGGCTTAACATCATGTTTGACCAAGCATTTTCTCATTGTCATGTAAAGGAGAGCGGTGAAGTTCATTTCTACCTCAGGACCACGAGGATGCAGTGAACGGAAGTGGGCGCTGCAAGGTAGGTCAATCATATGAAAAAACAGGGGGGGGGGGGGTTGCAGTGCGGTAGTTTTGCTGGCAACCGCACCATCTACCTCACCTGTACGATACCCCGGGCTGGACCGGGGAAGCCAACTAGTAGAATATAGAGTTGATGATACGTAAATCATCAACACTTCACCAATAAAACAGAAGTCATCCGGCCCAGGATGTTAAGACCATAACTCGGAATAAATGTGAATGACGTAAGTGTAGTGAGTAACATATCAACAATATCTCAGCGAAACCGAAAAATTGCGTTTCTGTGACCTTCTTTGTACCAAAAACAAGTTTTAATGTGAATTTTCCACAGTAATAGGATAACATTTCTCATCTGACCTCTTTTAGACTAGATGTGAATTTCGAAAACTCAAGAAAGCTACTGGAGTTCAATACAAACGAGAAACTACGCTTAACTCTTGCGCAGAGAGCCGCGCAGAAAATGCTGCTTTATCTCGTTAAAGACTGATTTTCAAAGCTTGCGACGTTGTCAGTGCTCCTAGTCGTGTCATGATGATCAGATTTTATTAAGACCCCGTGGAGATCTGCTACCAGGGCAAATCCCGTCAGCTCTGGTCTCTCTCCTCTTCTCGTCTGCGTTTCCGCGCACTGCGCGCTAACTCGCTTTCTAGTTTTTTTCTACAGTTTATTTCTTTTCAGGAGGTTTTTCCGTGCATTCGGTAGATCTTGCTTCTGTTCTTAAAATACAATGTCGCAAGGCTAAATTCTTCGATTTGGTGATATATCTGGCCAAAAGCTGCAAGTGCTATTTGTTCAAAGGCCTTTCTTGGAGTTAGTAAGCAACCATTTCTTACACGTTCGGGGGCGGGGGCATGTTGCCCAGGATTACGAACATAACAAAGCTGACAACGTCGTCGGAAACAGAAACTACGAGAAGGGGTAAAATTTAAAGGACGCATCAAAAACTAGATTGTCTTTGTCGTGCATTCAGATTCAGGAAAAAGCAAAAATTTACGTCCTCATAGGTGATTCCTTTATCGCTTATTTTCTTCTTGGTAAACACCACTTCCGAAATATGCTCGTCTTTATAACAAATCAAAAAGAAGAAACTGCTTTCCCTCGTTTTTCCCGTGTTGTGAATTGTCCTGTGAAGCGAAAACCTGCACTTCGAAATGGCGCCCAATGAAAGATTTTAAACTCGTTGCAGCGCTTTCATCCGACCTCCAAGGTTTCTTCTACTTTTGCCATTTGTTTTTGCATTTTTCTTTCTTCTCTGTTTTTTAAAACAACCTTCACTTTTGAGGCCCTGTCTCCAGACTATCGACGGTATGTGTATAACAGACAAGTTTCAAACCAACAGTGATAGTTATAGAAAGGAGAGTTTAAAAAAATTGAGAATGGACTACGCAGTTAAAACTCATCCATTGGAAAAGCAACCGTACGTTAATCTATGTATTCATGTCCAAAAAAGATTGGATTGGCCCATGCTACAGATAAGACAGATCATAACATTTTGCTTTTTGCTTCTCCAGGCCATCAATTGCTAACTAATTCGGATACTCGGAATGCAAAATGTTTGCTTTTGTGTTCAATTAAATCTGTATTGTAGACATTTATTCGGTGAGACCAGGGCCCGGCATGAGGTGGGCAAATGTCAAGCTGGAAATCGTTTGGGATGGAAAGCAAAAAGGATATCGTAAATAAGTGCTACATGCACATACACTCTTTCGACAAGTTGTTACACGACTGACATGCAAAAACACGGTCCTGCTCATGCGTCACCTTCAAGATCTAAATTTCCCTCCATTGAAGTGATTAATTGTCTCGTTTATAGCGCACATACAACGATATGACCAGGAATTTGGAAGCAGTAATGGATTGAGGAGCCTGACGCAGAGTGCTGTGGAAAATTATGTGACTGAAGGTTGTGGCAAGCAATTTTCTGAAAATTACCCACTGCCACAACATGATAAAATGGCTCTTTGCAACGCACACATGACGATATGAGACAATATTTGGTGTGTATACACGCAGTTGGACCAAGGAATAATTTATGAAAATTTATGAAAACTTATGTGAATAAAGAGCGTGCTTAACTCTTTTTCAACAGGGGGCAATTGCCCAGCTAATGCCCACCCCTGAAGTAGGCAAAACCATTTCAAATAAATTTCTCAAAATTTTTACATAAATTTGTTCTACACATAAGGTTTGATATATATTGACATTTTGATTCCAAAACTCTTCTTTTCCTCCTCGTTAGAAATCGAAATAGCAACGACGCCGGTCTTTTTTGAGAAAGAGCGCGCTCCAGTCGAACAATCTACGCAGCTGGCGGGATCAAGTAGGAAATCGTAAAAACCGATAGTGGCAAAGGCAAAGTCGTTCCACCAATGTCCTGTCACCCTCGTGCTGGGCCCTGAATGAGACTCAAGGCTGATCGCCAACGCACATGAGTCGAGTTTGTCATAGGACGTGTGACCTCACATGCCCCCACCGGCCAAGATGCGGTAAAAACTTCGATCAGCTAATTAACCGTCAAACAGATGTTCGCCGCGGGAGTAGGACAGGGAGGGAATATAGACAAAAAATCTATCAAATACCCACAAACTCGGAAGCGAAAGTACGCAGAGGTCATAATAACAATTGCGTTGATTACCCGACTTTAGACTACGAAGAAGAAAGCTCCGAAATGTCGCTCTCGACTGATATAATAACAAAGAAGAATGAGATCTTCACTTACAGCTGCAAACAACCATTGCACGTTGACAGTGCCACCCCAAAGTCAAATTATCATTCAGAAGCTACTAACAAGGGAAGCTTGTTCAGTCGAAGTAGCCTTTTCAACTGAGATTTATACCATATTGAAGGGTATAAAACTAAACTCTGATTCAAAAATTCCTTCCTTATCAGCAGAATTATAGACGAGGAGTTATGGACTTTTTTGGAGCCAAAAATACAATGAGCATTTTGGATAAAATGAGTTGCTAAAATTTTTCTAGCCGTCAAATTGTGATAGATTTTTTTATCTTAGAGTATTTTTTCAAGAAGCTCTGATGATTATCACTGCTCCATTGAGAAGCTAGAAAAGGTATTACGGCTACTTCTGTCCTACTTGCACATTCAATTTTTTGCTCCAATAAGCGCTCATAACTCCTCGTCTATAAATGTTTTGCAGATAAGGAAGGCAGATTTGGAATCAGCATTATGCCCTTCAGCATGGTATACATCCCCTCTAAAAAGGCCACTTTGATTAAACACGCATTCCTTGTAATTTTAGGGGAAGCACAACATCTAAGATCTTAGCTCATCGCCCTATTTTCGCCAAAAATTCAGATATTTCAATAGTTGAGAGCACTCGGTCGCCCTATAAACTTTTGAACTTTCTATAATATCAATCATTTTACATTATATTCATATAATGCTCTTTTAGCAAATTGAATAACAACGCACTATAACTGTGTATGGAATTGTCATGCGACCAAAAGTGCGTCGAAAACTTCAGTGAAGCATCTTTTCAAATTTGTCAATGATTTGCGAACAAAGATCTTTTTCTTTTCAACTGAATTCTGCGTAAGCGCATTCTATGCGTACCTGCACAATGCTCCCGGTTTTATTCGCACTGATGTCCAGATCCCAGTTGTGTACGTAAGGGTCCTAAAAGCAATTCAACTTCTTTAAATGCGGACATTTATGTAGTCTTACCTTGATGTGAGTACTATTAAAAGTACAAAAACGCATGCCGTAAGTCGTGTCTGCGTTCACGGAATCATTCACATGGAAAACAAAAGGCTCTCTCGAGAAGGACTGCGATCGAAGCAGTTTCTGGAAAGTTGCAGCCATATGGGCGTACAGTCCAAGAGTTATGCAGGAGTCCTCTACCTCAATGGAAACAACAAGACGGCTGCGATTTTGACCATCAAAGCGGAGCATGGGAGCTGCATTCTCAATAGGTTGTTCTTCCTCCTTCACTTTTCCGAATTCCACAAACAAACGGTCGGCATTGTTAACCGAGCTGATGTGGTCGCTAGCTTCTTGGCTACGCACCTGATAAACGACATCAAAGGATATTACACTCAAAAAGTAGAAGAATCGTCCTTACAAGCACGTTCATCGATATTGGGTCCCAAGTTGCGTTTACGTCGCTTTTTGGAAGGCACAACGTGTGCCCGAACAATTCTCTGCTCAGACATCCACCGTCAGGTGAAAGAACGTGTGATATCACAGGACATCGACAGCTAAAGATTTCCAGATCTTTTTGTTTTATTTTTTGACGAAGATGAAGTAAGGAACGAACGTTTTGTTAGTTTCGCATCCAAAATTGCAGACGATTCCAGTGCTGAGAAGACATTTCTTGCTTTTCTCGTGATGCCGCAGTTCGGCCGAAGTCGATTCAAGCTGCAAAATTGTCTGACTATGACTCAATCTACTAACTCAAGGCACGGTTTGGCAAAAGGGGGGGCAACGGTCAAAAGCGCGGCTTTATCCGGCTGTCACCAACTCAAACTCCAGTTTAGTGCTATTCAAGTCTCCAAAAAGTATCAAATAGAGTACATTAGCTTAGCATCTGTCTGAGGTTACCATTTGCTGAGTTTGGTGGCATTTGCTAGAGAACGAACCGAGATATCTACGTATTTGTTTTTAGCTGCATTTTCGCGGGTTTTTGACCTTCAAAATTGCTGTTTTGCATTGTTTCAAGACATTGAACCCATGCAACTATCTAATATGTATATCTCCTGCTAAATTCTAAATACTTTAGGGAATTTATGAACAAAAGGGATTTTGTTATTATGTGCTATACGGTGTCCTTCTGGCAACAAAATTGCGCTTTTTGACATATACCTGGCAAAAGGTAGGTCTTGGAAGTTGGAAGTGAGTGCAAAAAGTGTTCCTTTTGACATGAAAAAATTGCAGAACTTCCCCAATCGACAACGCCATCAAAAGAGTGGGATACTCCTGAATTTTGTTTCTGGTGCACTGCGATAGGAGCAAGATTGCGCAGTCAGTCAAACCTATCTAGTGTATGTACGTAACAAGACGAAGAGTCAGGGTCAGTTTCGATGCTAGCAGTACCGAGTTTGAAAGTGTCTAACATGAGATGAAAAAATGTGCAAGCGGCTTGTTCATTTTGTAAATAATAAAATGAATCCCATTTAGAAGCCTTGTAAATTTTTTTTTGCGGGCATTGCTGCAAACACGCCCTCTTCCTAGAATTTCAAAGGTTATGGCCCGCAAAGTATTTCAGAAGTATCGAAACATTTTTTGGCATGCTTTCTAAAATTTTCGCGACCCACCCCCGAAAAATTTTTTTTTCACAAGGCTGAAGTGAATTTTAAAAAATCAAGAAAATCATTTTAATTATTTACAAGTATGAACAAGTCATTTGCATAATTTCATAACTCATGTAACTTTCAACTGTAACTTTCAATTATTTCGCGACCCGTTTCCGGGGGGGGGGGGGAGCCCTCGATACACCACTGAAATGTATGAATGAGGTACCATTCGATAAAACGAAGCAAGCTCTACAAAATGATCACAAGAATCTATCTAAACATGTGGTCCACGTAAAGTTTGATGCCAAAATCTGTGAGCAGGCCAGCTCAAGAACCGAATCTTTGCCCGGATAAATCCGAAGTCTTCCAGTTGGTCCCCTTATACATATAGACGCATAGCAACGTTCATTTACACCTGCTGTAGTTTTTCCCACTTAGAATTCAAGAAAAAAACGAAAAAATTCGGCAAACTCCGGCTCTGACTCCGCCCCCTCCCTCCAGTTCAGATATTGTGTACCACAAAGCCTCCGAAGTATGACTGTGAAATTTCAGCGTGGTATCTTCATTGTTTCTTGAGAAAAATCAATTTTAGCTTTAAGAAACCATAGTTTACGGCCATTACTTTTGCATCAACCTAATATATAGGCCTTTGTGATGTAGGTAAAAGAATGTGAAAAAACAAGAAAGTCGTATGAGGTGACAGAAAAACTTTGACTTTGCTTTTAGAAGTCTTAAGTCTCGAGGTGGCGCACTGTTATTCAATTCAATGAGTTTGAAAAGCACGATTTCTCTTTCTCTGCAAAATCTCGAAAATCGCGAGATGTACAAGCAAGTATTCAAGTTCGGATTTTCTCCCGCGAGAGTTTATACTATGAAGTTTTGTAATGATTGTCTACATACATAATATCAAGACAGTCAATTTAACAGCGTAATTTTGTAGAATTACGCTTTGGTAAATTACGTGCATATGTGATACTTTACCCAAGACAAGTTATGACTTCCACATCTCCTCTTCTTTAGTGTAACCATATTCAGGCTATACACAAGCCGAATGCCAGCTTTAGTTTAAAAAGCCCGATTTACCTTTGTCACAAGCTCATTAGCGGCTATCTTTACAGCTCGTTCTGCTGATGTTGTATTTGCGAAGGTCGGTATAGTCTGTTCGGAAGTATCGCTGACATGCTTTCTGAAAGTGTTTTTGTACTTATATAAGGCAGAAAGTGAGAGGCTTTTATGAGGAGAAACCTCTTACCCTTCTTTTTGATGCTCGACCTCTTCAAGAGCCTTCTCAAGATGTTTCACAGATTCTTCCAAATCGTCGGAAAGGTGCTGCCTGGCTGCAGCTTGATCATCGTCACTATCCTTGACTTTGTTAACTTTGGGGTTTGAAGGTTCCCTGCCTGGTTCCGTGTCTATTTTTACTGTCATCGGATGAATTGCTGTGTTCGCACGCGGATTTTCCCTGTAGCGCAGCTTAGTCTCTACTTCTACGATTTCTACGGTCGCAGACGTCGTGGCGTCGGTGGTATCGTGGTGAGTCACGGTAGTCTGGGTAGTCTCTGTCGCTTCCACGGTAGTAGATGTCATAGGCTCAGTGGTGGTGGCAGGTTCTGTTGTACTGGTGGTGGTTTCTTCGGTCGTAGTTGGAGCTGATGTCTCCGTGGTTGTGATCGTAATCTCGTAAGAGGTTGTAGACGCAGTTGTCGTCGATGAAGAGGAGGCAGTGCTTGTAGCGTCTTCGTTGATTTGCTCTGCTCGTTCAAGTGAGATCGGACCCGATTCTGCGTGCTGCAATGATTTTTTGATCAAATGGCAATAAAGGTCATTAGAGAAAGGTTCGACAGTTTGCTCCAAAACTAGCATCGTTAAATATTACACCATTCTTCCGTTATGAGCACAAAACTCTTTTTGTGGGCCTACGAAAGTTCCAGTTGTCATAGTGACGTTTGTCAACAGTTGTACTCTTTGACAACCTCACTATTGTCTTTTCAAACATCATGTTTCTATGTCCATCCTGTCCACGCGAGGCGTCCTACCCAGTATCTCAGACAATCGAAAATCCTGGGAAACTGAACTTCCAAAACTTCCGGAGAAACGCTCCCATTGGGCCGTGTGGGTAGGCCCCTCTACCTGGCCCCGCCCTACCTGGCAGCTCCAGTAGGAGTGTCCCCGTGAAACTTTTAGAACTTCACTTTGCCCCGGATCATGCGATTGTCTGAGATGAAGCTGGAGTGAACAGAGGCACGTGGCTACTATTTGAACGGCGACTCAAAAATAGTTTCTGCTGACAAGTGATATTATGATTTTCACTGAAAGTTGCTGCTCATTAACGTACTGCTTTTGAGAACTTTGCGTATTCGGTCTTCCCTTGAGTTGTAGCTATGCATCATCGAACTTTTTGGGTAAGGAACGCAAACTTTGTGGACAACAGGTTTTTTTTGAAGGCAAAACAGAGACTCTTTCCGAAAGCGATGAGAAATGGAGGTTGCAAATGAACATCTAGTTTGCTGCAGTCACCCGCTGTATATCACCCTGTTGTAGAAGTGGATGAAGTGATTCTAAAATGAGCTAACAGACGTGCGATATGATCATATCATTGTAAGAAAGTCTTGCCAATAGAGGTTGAGCTAATTTGTTTTACTTACAGTGACCGCCAAAAAGTTGCGGACAAATCTCTCTCCCTTTTTCATCGCTCTTTTTCAGAGGGAAAACAAGGATGAAAAAATGTAATAATTGCATGAGGTGGTAGAGCTCTTCAAGATTTACAATCTACATTTTAAGCTTTTTGAGAAATACGTGTTACAAAAATTTTAAGAATCTTTTTCTAAAAAAAAGTCTGAAAATGGCCGCGTCACAATGTCGCGGACAATAATTCTTCGAACGCAAAAATTTTCCTTTGAGTCCTATCTTGAAGCGGAAACATAGGTTATCCGGACGGATAAGCATACTACTATACAGAGCTCGTCAAGAACTACACATTGGTAATGGTTGCTTCCCCAAAAAACGCAAGCTTGGGTTTTATTTTGCTTTTTTCAAAATTAACTTCTAATTTCCTTTATCAGGCCAAATTTCTTCACACGAAAACCTGTTCAAGACATCCCAGCAAAGGCGTCTGGATAAAGTAGATGCTTTTTGCCATCCTCTATGCATGGGGCATGTGCTGATGAGTTTCTTTGCTGAAAATGGCCCTTGGCAGTGCTTGCACATGACCCTACCTGCACCTCACCACTGACTTGTACGCTTTGCAGGCTTGTAACTCGGTCTGCAGTCAATATTTGAGCCTGCAATTAGGCTCATTCGAAAGAACGAGACTTCCTCTATACGATGATATGCAAATGATTTGAGTTTGAGAAACTTCAGAGATTTGGAGGATGGGGTAGTAGAGGGCAGCTTCATTTGTGGTTTAAGCACTTTTCAGCTAAAGTTGAAGAGAGCTCCTTTCGCTACCAATTTCATCCTGGAAGTTCAAAACTGTCAATATTCTTGTAATAGATTCATTTCGCAACTCTGAGACTGTTCTGATGTTCATAAGAGCTTTCACTCCAATCACCTCTGAGGCTGCACTTTTTCACCCCATCCGCCAAATCTCTGAAATTTCTCAAACTCAACTCATTTGCATATCATCGTATACAGGAAGTCTCGTTCTTTCGAATGAGCCTAATTGCAGACTCTTGTAGTGTCTGGCGGCCGAGTTACAAGCCTGCAAAGCGTACAAGTCAGTGGTGAGGTGCAGGTAGGGTCATGTGCAAGCACTGAAAAGGGCCATTTTCAGCAAAGAAACTCATCAGCACATGCCCCATGCATAGAGGATGGCAAAGAGCATCTATTTTATCCAGACGGCTTTGCTGGGATGTCTTGAACAGGTTTTTGTGAGAAGAAATTTGGCCTGATAAAGGAAATTAGAAGTTAATTTCGAAAAAAGCAAAATAAAACCCAAGCTTGCGTTTTTTGGGGAAGCAACCATAACCAATGTGTAGTTCTTGACGAGCTCTGTATAGTAGTATGCTTACCCTCCGAATAACCTGTGTTTCCGCTTCAAGATAGGACTCAAAGGAAAATTTTTGCGTTTGAAGAATTATTGTCCGCGACATTGTGACGCGGCCATTTTCGGACTTTTTTTAGATAAAGATTCTTAAAATTTTTAGAACACGTGTTTCTGAAAAAGCTTAAAGTGTAAATTGTAGATCTTGAAGAGCTCTATCACCTCATGCAATTATTACATTTTTTCATCCTTGTTTTCCCTCTGAAAAAGAGCGATGAAAAAGGGAGAGAGGTTTGTCCGCAACTTTTTGGCGGTCACTGTATGTCTTCATTATAGGAGGCTGACAATCAATGACATATTTCGTCATGTGTACAGAACCTTAGACTACCAATTAGATATATCGCTTGCAGTGTTTTGAAACAGGAGAAGAGTTCGGTTTTTCTAAAACGCTGAAATCACTGAGCTACTTCTTGTGTGGAAAAAGGCCCACGTACGGGAACCAGTCAAAGTTATGTCGCTTTATCTAACCAATACGAATGATATAGCGGATTCTATAATCAAACTTTTGCACATTTTGCGTCTCTACTAGCTGAAAAATGTGTCTTTCCACAGATTTGAACGCGATGAACTCTCCTTTTTGGGGCATTTCTCCCAAGTTTCTCCCAAATTTAATTTTTTAGCCGAATAGCATATACGGTTGCTGGAACCGTTGCTGGCGAAGAACACAAAACCAGCCCCTTGCGTTTGTTGATTCTAAAATGATAAGAAGAATTGGCAGAACTTTTTTTACAACCTAATAAAAGCGTTAACATTTCGTGGTAAATCTTGCAGAGGGCTATCTATTTCGCAGTTGTCTAGATATCGGAAAAGACAGTAAAATAATACACATGGTCGAAATTGTGTCTTATGGAGACCAAGAAAGTTGTTGAAGGACAGCTCATTTTTTCTAATTCTAGCACCACTGTACCTTTTCTAGCTCTCTGAAAGCGAGTTTGTTGTAATTATAAAGCTTACGTCACTGATATGAGCAATGCTCGTATTTGCACCAGAAGCTCGTGGATGTCCATTCACCAGAAGATCAGTTTCCATTCTGAATACCGTCTGCGGCATGATCTGAAACGGTAAAAAGTGCTGTTTTGTAGACCCAAGATCGATCCAATATAAAAGCCACCTGAGGTTTTTCTTTTCGAGCAGCTTTTCCTGTATCTCTCACTATGTCCTTCCAACTTCCATCAGACACCGTTGTACCTTCTATACGGCCACACTCTCCGCAGCGTCCTACGGCAAGGGTTGCTGAAAAAGAGAGATTGTTTATTTCGAGCCAAAAAATCAAACAACAGTTCACGTTGATTTTTGCAGCTAGTACACTGGAACGGAGTCACTCTGATCAGTCCAAATTTAGGCCGTTTTCGATGTGTTGTGAGTATAGCACAGACCTTGAACATTCAAATAAGAACACATTTGTAAATCTGAAGGAAGCCACCTGTATCCCAAAATCTTGGTCTTCGGCAACGTCCAGTGTAAGACTGGTTACGGTACCGTCCACTTTGATGTCCCTCTTGGTAGCAAGTTGCCAGGTAACAAATGGTGGGTTTCCCTAAAATAGGAAGTGGATACTCTGTTTTCAACACTTGCTTTCTGATGTTTGAATTTTGATAGACTTGTTGATTGAGTGTGACTAACAGGGGAAGGATACTTGGATGCCGTAGCCATTCATAATGGTTTGTGTACCAAAAAATGCGCCTTTGAATGCTGGTTCGTAGACTGTCTTTCATATCTGCGAAACGATAATCTGAATGGAGTTATGATTTTTTTCATAAAAAAAACTGCGTTCCTGCGGAGGGTCAAAATCATCAATAAAAAAATTTTCTCTCCTTTCCAAATGCTGAGTATGATCCAGATAGTCTAAATAAATATTACTACGTCTAAAATTTTCTTCAGTAGCATCAAACAGTAGGCTAGATCAAATCTGGTGATTTTTACTATACAAATAGGCTAAATTTTCAAGGAAAAAAGTTCATAACTTTCTTCAAAAGATCGTTTCGCAGATTTCGAGCACAGATTCAGAATCTGCATTCGAAGGCGCATTTTTTGGTGTACAAATCATTAGGATTGGCCGCGGCATCCAACTATCCTTCCCTTGTAAGTCAGTGTTTTTGCGATGCCGACATCATTTACGCATGAAAAATTGCCATGGGTGCAAAACCTGGAGATATGAGCTCCATGGCAAAGTTTTACGCGCAAATGTTGTTCTCGCTGCAGGGGCCTTAAATCAGCTGTTAAATCTACTGATATATATTGTCTACCTTCATCTGTGCTGGACCATAGCGAACATGATAGTAAAGGGGAGAACGATCGGCCGGCTGCCAAGTAATCGTCACATGGCCTCGTTTTCCGTGCACGTCAAGAATTTCCATACATACTGGGTTCGCTTCTATGAAAAAAAGTGTTTTCACTTCAGAAAAAGAGGGCGTTTGTTCAACCTTTCGTGCAAACGTCCAGCTCAGGGTTCTTCTCGCAATCGATTTCGATATTTTTCTGTACGCTGAATGGTTCGAGCCGAACGCATCTGAATGGTTTTCAATGATAGATAGTTTGTCGGGACAGAAATATAGCAAAAAGGTAGGAAAAGAAAAGAAGGGATTCTGTAATTCATGATTCAATTTCATCGGTGAAGTACGTTAGATCGTACAATGTAAGTACGTAAGCTTTCATGAAGCTGAGGATGGAGAACAAAAATATGAACAGAAGTACTAGAATGCGTTTTTCTATGATATCTTCCTCTATTTTAAGTTTTGCAGTAAATCCTGTATCAAGGCCATTTATTTGTACAGATCAAAGTCTACCTTGGAAGCATCCTGACTTCAACCCACAAACGACATCGAGCTTCAAGTACAGTAGAAGGTAGAGAAACTGCAAGTCGTCCACCAGCTCTGACAATTTCCTGAAAAGAAATATCCCCAATTTTTAGTGCCGAACGATTAATCGTAAAATATGCAAATATTCACAATTTTTGGTTGAGGCAGTTCATCTTCAGGAGTGCGACATTGAAGGGGGTATAAGGCAGGCGCTTCGTATCCATAGATGTCAGAGTCCGAGTAGCCTCTGAATGTCAGAAATATCTTCAAAAAATTTGATGGTTAATTATGCAAATATGCCTTGGCAAGGTCCATCGTATGTAAACTTTCAGTGAATCCGTGGTTGCATTGAACATCGGAGGCTCAGCGTAAATCTTAACTTAATACTGCCTTGAGAACAACTGTTGTTACTTGCGTCGGTATGAGTAGAACTATTATTTCAACGAATTACCTGGTCCGCACTCAAAATAAATGGTGGAAGTTGCACGGGAATATTCTTCTGACCAAAAATGACGAAGTGATCGTTAGGATTTGTACTTCGGACAACAACTACCACTCTATAAAATGTACAGTACCGCTAAAATACGAATACATGGAGTAAGCATATTGTATGTATTCTTTATTTGAATATCGTTAAAGTACGAAAACAACCAATCTGTTTTTAGCCTACCATGAAATTGTACTTTGGTAATGATCGTTCAGTGGTGTAATGTTTTGTCCCGCAGTTCTTGCAACATTTTTTGAAGATTCAAAAACACTCCTGCTTTCCCAAAACAAGCTCGGTTCAAAAGTCGTCACAAAGAGTGATGCTTTCTAGAGGTGCTCACCTACTTGATCAAATGCTGTAAATTCTTTTGGTGCTACTCTTTCTAAATAAGAAAACATACATTGATCGTACATCTATATCAAGATTTCCTGTTTTCCATTGATTTTCTTCGGCTTTTTGACTTCAATATGATGGATTTCCACTTATTCCATCATTAGGTTTTGTCATTAGTATTCTTATTTTGAAATATTAAACATTTGTCTTGTCATGCGTGGAAAGCATATTTCATTACAAATGTACTTTTTCGAGCGTTTTGAACGATTATTCCGTAATTTTTTGGTGGAAGTTATCCGACCTGATAATGGATCAACTATCAGAATTTGTCAATCTGCCTGAAAATCACCAGTTGCAGCAGGGATGATCTTGTAATTTTGCACAATGAGATTCCTTGAATTAACTTTCTACTGCCTTTTGTCAATTCATTTATTTAGAATACATCACCAATGTCAGCTTGAGGTTTGATATGTATAATACCATAGAACAGGATTATATTGAACAAATGGTGACTTGCCCAAAGAAAGTTTATTTTTAATTCAGTTCTTTTACTTATTTTCACACAGTTTGGTGTGGGCTAGGCATTGGGCATACCCTGGGCAAAAAAATCCTTACATTTTCAGTTGTCAAGACTACCCGTAGTGGCGGTCAAAAACGGCGAGTGAATTGTTCATCGCCAATGAATGGCGAAACGGAAGTCTCAACATCGCCCAATTCAAGAGAGGTATGCCCGTTCAAAAATGACCAGCGATTTGTTGAGCGAGCAAACTATTAGGTTATTACAAGAGTCCATAGCGTTTTCAATTTGTCGCCCCTCTCTGATGGAGCGATTGGTGTTTTGGGGCATGCAACATACCGTTTGAAACAGCTCTCCTGCAGAATACGTTCTTTGATTTTGAAATGAAGTAATTGTTCAAAGAACGTGCTAAATTTTGACTTTCAAGAACTTCTGTTCCGCGCAGTCGAAAGTAGAACAGCACAAAAGAACCAGCCTTTTTCGAAAATAAAAATGCTCATTCAAACAAAATGTTATGCTGATAACGGTATTTTGTGTACCAACAGTTTCTTTTTCAAGAGAAGACTACAAAAGCGGACTCACAGAGAAACTAGTAAGGTAAATGTAGGAAACCTATGCCTATCACCCTGACAGCGCACTTTGAAACACCTTCCGAGTCTGCGAATCCCATCTGTAATTACTAAGATAGAAGAGACAAAGTAAGTATAGAAAAAAAAGTTCAGCATGCGCTCAGAAAACTATGTAGATTCGCTAGGGGTCTGATCGCATTATCAGTGCGGTAGTGCATATTTTCTGTGAAAAACGCTTGTTTGAGGTACGTGACATACAAAATTTAATTTCGATCATACAAAAATTTGCCTTCGCTTTTGGGAGTATGATGTGATAATCTCAAGGTTCTAACAAACAAGTGCTGCGCACTTACCGAAACTTGTAATCCCTGCACGGATCCAGTATCGTGAATGTTGTCATCGGATTTGTAGAAGCACCCTGAAAAAAAATCTTACTCATATTTCAGTCAAACAGGTTTGGCATTTTGAGAATAATGCAACATAAATGTAGTTATTTCTCATAGAAATATTTCACTGCCGTCTACGATTGATAGTTTATCTAATGGTATAAATCGGAAAGGCAATTTCAGAAAGATTGGTAAAGAACGAGACGAACTATTATACATAGACTTACCGCAAAGTACCATTCTTCAGACTGTGTACTGACGGTAGCATACTCAAAGATGTAAGCAAATGCTGAAGGATACGGAGGGATTTGTACGCGTATTGTGTGCGCATCGAGGTATTCGGAAGAAAAAGAAGACGGAATTGGCACGGTCATGGCTGAATGAAATAAGGTTATAACGAAACGATCATCTATCGAGGAATGAAGATGTTATGAACGGCGAGGAAAAAAACTTTAATTAAAATGTGGCACAACAATTTTCGGAGTTTTTTGTGAATTTTGTTTCTGCTGTAGTCTCAACAGATCCGCTATGCTCGTGTTAGCAAAAGTTCAGCCTTTGAGACAATTATCAACCACTTAGGGCTTGAAGGATGAGGTTTTTGAAAGGTAAATGTCCTTCACTAATATGCTGACTTTTGCAAACGCTATGAGAGATCTTGAACCACTTCTACACATTTACTGTTGTGAAGAACAATCCGCCTAATTTTTTTGCGTGAAAGTGGATTACCCAAAACAACAAACCTCGTGCAAGTTTTGCATCTACGGAATTGCAAGAGCGATGTGTTCGTTCCACTGGACAGTTGCAATAGACGCCAGATGGCTGAAATTACAACTTAGAGATTGTTTAGATTTCCAAGTTCACAGCAGCAAGCAGGGCTCGGCAAAGGTGGCTTATAAGCAAGCTTTCCTGGGGCAAAGAGCAAGGGGATGTCTTTTTTATGGGTCCACAATCAGTTTTTTTAGCCGAGGTTTCGTTTTCTTTCCATTCGAATTCGGATATTTCGGATGAGCGTCAGGAGGGACTTCGTAAAATTTCGCGAAAGTCAAGGGGACTTCGTTTTTTGCATTTTCAGAAAGTTATCTAGTGCCGAGCCGTAGCAGCAAAATCCCTCCCTAGCGCTAAATTTCACGAAAAATGCCATTATTACTTTATTGCATTTCGTGGACCCTACTATAAGCAAAATTGCTTTTTTACAAAAAGAATACTTCAGACCTTTTTACGAGGATACTCAGTAATACTTTTAGGACTTTTCATCGCATGATATAGTAGAAAAATGAAGCGTAAACAAAAATTTTATGTAGTCGTCATTTGTACCTCAAGAAGAGCTATTTGGCTTGATCTTAAATTTACAACCTCGTTAGTGCAAGTGATGCTAGTTTGGCAGAAAGCAAGCGATTCTCGCACTGTCGTCAGTTACTAACTGGTAGATGTTGACTGTTTATGGATCTTTAAAGATCAGTAGGGTTTGGAGCATCGTAAGAAGGCAGGAATAAAAATGATAGAGTCCCTGTGATCGAACGCTATTTTCGCTGCGTTACGCTAACCTTTTTTGAGCATGCTCTATTAGGGATGTAAGTCAAGAGGCGCAATTTTTATTGCAAGATGGACATCAATTAGTGCATTTCTAGTATTTTTTGACGTTAAAAAAGGCAAAAGCAGATCAGATATCTGATAAGATATGTTCAAAAACCCCATGGATTGCTCGTTCTTATTATTCTGAAAATTTAAAACGTAGGTGTTGGGGGTCGAAAACCCGTGAAAATGCAAGTAACGGCGTTTTCTGAATTTTTCAATTAAGGTTCCATTAAAAGCAGTCAAAGTTAGCAAGTAGTAGCTTTAGATAGCTAGTAAGATGAAGCACTTTGCCTGGTATGTTTGAAAGACTCTCATAGCTCTAAATTTGGCTATTAACTGATGACCTTTGAAAAAATCGCGCCTCTCAGCCGTTTCCCCTTCTAGTATAGTCCCCTATCCTGCTACCACAAATGCAGACCGCTTTACTGCATCTCTTACTAGGGTGGTATAGCAATAATCTGCGCTCGAGTGCTCAAATTCTCTACAATCCTGGCTAAAACCTGTCATATACTAAACCTACGCAGTTACCATACGCATCTTTGACGAAACCAGCTCACTTTTTGAGCTCGGCTACGATCGAAGTAGCCCGACCGACTGCCATAATTGCCACTCAATTACTTTGCGAAGAGGGTGACTTTCGCCGGACAGCGTCGACTGCCCTTTGCTAGTCAGGGTATGGGATCAGTGCGGGAAGACGCTGTCAAGCGTAAACCGTCGCTACGTTCGCAACATTGATGACCGGGTCGCGCAGTCATCCTGACAGCTACTGCACTCAGTGGAGTTCGCTTTCATGAGCGAGATCGACCTTATTCAATCAAGGCCCTAATCTATGATTCAGATATAAACTGCTTTGTAGAGCAAAAATTTAGTTCAAGGGCTACAACTGATAATTAATTCGAGTGAATGTTATATGCAGGTTAATTTTTTTAGCATGAGTTAGCATGGTGACTAGTGAAACTTTCGGTCCATATATAAGAATTAGAAACTGGTTGCCACGGGACAAAATATTGAACTGATTGTAAAAGGTTTTGAGCAGTTTTATTTATTCAGTTATGTTTACGAAATGAACAAATAGCAGCATAAAGTAACAAATGATAACCCGAATCAATTCTTTTGATGTGTGATTCGAAAACTAAAATTGTTGTAAAGTGATATATAGAACTGTTGATTTGGAAAATGTTACATCTTCAGGTTTATGCTATGGTCTTATTGGATTGATTTCAATGCATTCAATAATTTCTTCTAGTATTGTTTTCCCTGAGGTCTTGGTTGTCTTATCTCCGTCCTCATTATGACAGAATAATGACAATATTTTGATATACGTTCCTAGGCAACAGTCAAAAAATATTTGAACGGGGAAACCTTATATTATGCTTATGCTTTGTGGAAAAATACTCTTGAATCAAGGCTTAGAAAATGATTTCTATGCACCGTATATCCCAAATGCGCCAAATCCCAAATATTAGGTTGGACCGAAAGTTCGTTCGCACCAATTACAAAAATTCATAACTCTTTAAATTCTTAACGAATTTGTAAGAACGAAATTTTGCCTGAGAGAGAAACTCATGCTCTTTGCAAATGCACCTCAATTGTCCGTTAATGTATACAAATGAAGGAGATAGAAGCTCAAAATCAAAATCACTTAAAATTTGAATTTTCGTGTAGGGTCATAAAAAATCGGAAAGCTGCAACAAAAATCGAAACAGTCGGTATTGTAGGTTCTTTCACCAGCTCTTTCCAACAGTGCAAATTTTGCGCCGATTGAGCGTCTCTGTGAAAAGTTATGATTTTCGAGCAAGCAATACAAAAGGGCGATTTTGATTTATTTTGGCATTTTTCAGGGAAATCATAACTTTTCATAAAGACGCTCAATCGGCGCAAACTTTGCAATGTTAGAAGGAGCTGGTGAAAGAAGAACCTACAATACCGACTGCTCCAATTTTTCTTGCATGTTTCCGATTTTTTATGACCTTACACAAAAATTCAAATTTTGAGTGATTTTGATTTTGAGCTTCTATCTCCTTCATTTGCATACATTAACGAACAGTTCAGGTGCAGGTGCAAAGAGCATAAGTTCCTCTCTTATGCAAAATTTTGATCGTACAAATTCGTTGAGAGCTTAAAGAGTTATGAATTTTTGAAAATGGTGCGAACGAACTTTCGGTCCAACCTAATATATTCAAAAATGCTGACCAAATGATTTCGTTTCACATGAGAAATTTACGAAAAAATTACTGGCGTAAACTGATAGCAAATAGAAATCGAGGACTATACGATAGCGCTATTTTTTTAAGTCCGAAAATCATGCACAATTTTTTATGAAAATTTGTGAATTTTATTGACAATGAGAGGTATTATGCATTTATCAGTAAAAATGATTGTTGAAAAACACGACAGATATATGTAATATAATCTCATGTATATTATGTGGGATGAAAATCTCTCTATAAAAGATATTTGCAAGCAGCAGTAGAGGGTTCCTAAAAAGTTTTTATGCAAGTTTGTCGCACCTTTGATGATATACAAGTTTATCGCTGGGGCTCCTTTGCCCGATGCACTTACAGAGTTGTTCTATATTCAAATGCAACGAAGTTTGCCAATTTGCGTGTTGATCGGCCCTCTTCGTAATTCCGAAGATTCGTTACGACATAGTAGCATTTCAATCACATCAATCTAGGTCAATCTTGGAGTTCTTGCCTAGTCAATTGGAGTCAAGAGCATTCTTACATCACTCTCAATTCAAAGGATCTCGCGCAATTGGCGCAGCCCCATCTACATACCATTTGTAAAGACGAAGAAAAGAGCGAAGAAACGTTTTTATGCCATCTTATCACAGCTTAAATTCACTTGGAATGGTTGAAGAGTCATGTGGCTGAACATTCAGAGCAAGTTTCAAGCGGTAAGAACATCTTTGATTGCAAGATGTTGAAAAGGTATGTTTTTGTACCATTAGGATTTCATAACGAGCTTTTGTTTGCTTTTGAAGGATGTTGCACATGGTCATCGTGACTTGTTCCTCTACTTGCTTCAAGAGGATTTCAGACGGACTCGCCTTTTCAAAAGGAGTGAAATTCTGTAAATGCTGCGATGAGAAGCAAAAAAATGCTATGACTCCGATGTACATAAATATGTCAAAAAAATCTGAATTGTTTAAAACGGAACCAGCAATTTTTGCTAAACTTTTACTTTTCCTAAGGCCATCAAAAAATGAACATGCTTAATCAATAAAATAAATTGAGAGTCCAAAAATATTAAAAATTGACTGGCACTACCTCAAAACACGACTGCCAATCATTTTACATCGAGAAATGGTGATTTTGCTGATCAGAGCACTGTTTGTACTATCTTGCATCTCCTTATATCCCAGAACAACTTGACAAATGTTCAATCCGAAAGACTTAAGATAATAGGACACAGAAGAAGAGCTAGCCTATTTGAAGCACTTGGACGAAATTAGGAAATCATAAATTTACCATACTCTAAAAAAAATAAATAATTCTCGGCAGCAGGAAGGCGAGCTATTAAGCTAATTCCCTCTTCTCCTCTCAGCAAAACTTGGGTCAAGTACTTTATTTCGAAATATGGTTAGTAAAGGACTAGACAACTAGCATTAATAGCAGAATCTATTTACTCAATTCGTCAAGGAAGCGTGCGCGCTTGTATAGTTCTTTAGCCATAAAACTAGTGCTTTGTAAACATATTCAGCATTTTCGTTATACTCCTAGCGGGCTTAGCACAATAGAAACTAACAAATCTTTATAGTTAAGTAAAGACATGGTGGACAATGACTTCAATGATACTTCGTAGATGAGCCATGACATGAAAGAACGGTTTTGAAAAAATTCCATCCATAATACCAATTTGAGATGGAAGGATATTCAGTGTATAAGAAGTCTAGGAAAGGGAGCATCACAGGAAGCGAATGTTCCAGTAGGAAATTAAGAGCGAAAAACTGTTGATTTGGAATGGATCTGACGTTTTTTTTTGTTCTGTGTAATCCTAGCTCCCCATTAGCATGAAAGCATTTTTCTACTAAAATAAATGTTTTTCAGGAGAGTTTGGGATGACCGCACTATGCAAGCAAATATACACCAAATTTACTAAGCCAAAAAAGGTGGAGACATACCGATCCAGACTGCATACACCTTGAGTAGCATTCGAGTGAACATTTGCCGCGAACGCTAGGAGCTGCCGACGTCCATCGTAAGGATGAGCACAGTAACAACACAATCGAGAGTAACATACGCGATTTTCCCCGAAAAGGAACACGAACAAAGATGAGAAATTCCCGAACTGCAGCAAATCTGAAAACCAGATCTTTGACGCTTGCGCAGAACGTATAAACGGAGAATTTTTTTATAAGAATTTCGAGAAATGAACAGTCGAGATTGTTCAAGTGTCGGTTCAAAACTGATGAAATCCACATCTTGACGAGAATTTTTGTAAAAACGCAGGATCTGTTCGAGGTCCGTATGGGATGTTGAGAGAAAGGAACACCCATGGGAGCCACCGACACGAATGCTGTGATCTTGGCGATAACCGTCTGGCTTACATATGGACAGCCGATCGCTTAGTGCTGCGCTCACGCACAGACCCTGTTGCGGATGGGGATTTAGACAGGGTCTATGGCACGAAGCAACAATGATCTTTTCCCTGTAGGGCCAGAAAATATTCGTTTC